CGACACACACTGGGGCGCACTTTGCAAAATGATCGACACAGTTAACTGGTTAATTCGATAGTAAATGCAAATAATTATTTGTATGGCTTACAGCGGCTTCTGTTATTCGAATGATGTCCCACGCCATGACGGAAGAGGTTTTCCATAAAGGCTTGCAACAGTATCTGAAGAGCAAGTACGTATAGTTTTACTCGCGTATAACACATCCTTTATTGAAATAAAATTCTTACTTGATCCCCACCTATCAAAAATCGAAACTAACGTTCCGCATTTCATAAATAATAAAGAAAACATTCATTTATTCACGGATGGACTTAAAAAGCCACTTTACTCCCTCAAAAGCGGGACTAGAATCCCTTATATATTATAAGCGATATGAAAAGTCGTTATTCTCGAAAATGCAGGACGAAATGTTTTTTATACCCACAAATGCGGGAGTAACAATTTAGTCTCGCATATACTCTAACCACTGCAAAACAACAATATGAGAACCTTGGGGGATCCTAGATTTAACAAATAGGTCTTGAGTAAACATTATTATATTTCATTAGTTAGTGTGTACAATTTAGAAAGCAACAAGGAGTAACTGCGTCGAAAGCTTTGCGAAAATTAGTATAAATAGCATTCACTTGCGCGCTCTTTATCATGAGTGATATTAATTCCTTACTGTTTGCTTATTTAATTTGCAAGAAATACTTTCCACATTGCATTGTACCCCGAGTAGAAAAATTTTGGGAGAAAACCATTTTATGGCTAGTAAACGACCAGTAATTTTTAGTCACACTTTTCTAGCCAGTAAATGGCTAGTAAATGGGCATAAAATACTGGCTAGAATTTTCTGGCCAGTTACTGGTCGGTGTATAGTCATAAATGTTTGGTTAACAGATGGCGCTGCAGTAGATATTTGACCGTAATTTTTTAACCAGTAAACGGCTAGTAACTGGACATGAAATACTTGCCAGAAAATTCTGGTTAAATACTGGTCGGTGTATGGTCACATATTTTT